GATTGAAACCCACCTGTAAGAACATTGGGAAGTGACTGTTTGATTGGCAGAGGACCAGAGCTCACAAAGGCTGGAGAGTGGAGCTCAGGGATCATCCAGGCAGGAGAGGAAGCTGCCTTTATATCTATGACCAAATTCCCAGTGATCAAGGCCCCTGGAGTCCTGCTTTGTGAGAGTGTGGTTCTGTGCTGGGGATGAAAAAAGGAGGGAATTGGGACTCACTTGGGGAATAAAAAGACAAGAAGAAGATGTACAAGAGGGTCCTCTTCCAGGACACTGCACTTTCACCACAGGAAAAAATTGCATTTTTATACTCTATATTATGAAAAAGAAGACAGAGAAAAGTTCTGCAGCATCCAGAGAAAAACACGTCTCTCATACACAGTCAGCATAAAGCCAGGTCCCAGCAAGAATCTAAATAAAGGTCAGAGCCCAGAGACAACCTCAGAATTAAGCCATAGAGGAGCTGACTTTGGAAATCTTCATCCCTTTATCTCTGCTCTTCCCTATGCAATTCCCATTGCCTCTGCATCAGCCCTCCACCAAGTTCCTTACACACCATTATGGTTTATGTCTAGTTATCCTGTCAAAGCCTTATGCAGTCATTGGGGCAGCTTCTAGCGATTAATTCATGATCCAATGCTGGGATTATGTGTGTGAGTGCTACACCTGCCCTGGGGTGGGTAATCTGCATTACAATGTAAGGAGGGGAGAGAGGCTTTCAAGTTGCCTCAGCTGCTGCTTCAAAGGCCTTTTGCTCTTTGATGTTTTCCACTTCCATGAATGACTGCCCTGTGCCATGTGCCATCCTGCCTTGGAGCCAGCTGAGTATGGACTGAAACCTCCACTAACAGTGAGGCAAATAAACCCTTTCTTTCTTAATTTTGGGTGTTGGATATTTTGTCCCCTCAGTGAGATAAATGTAACTAAGACAGCTACTCTTCCTCTCATGATATTATCACTAATAGGAGATTATCCATCCTACATGCCAAATCTAGTTTATTACAGTGTCATCATGCTGTTTCTCTGTCACTGAGGAGACAGCACATCATAAAAGTCTTCAGTGAATTAATAAAGCAATAACAATCCCTACATTTTCAGTACTTGGTATGGAATTTGGACTGAACTACTGTATATTAGGTACTAAAATAGTTATTAACTCCATTTTTCAGATGGGGAAACCAAGTCATAGAGACTAAGAAATTTAGTCTTTCAGGAGAAAAATTCAAGTGGGGATTTTATTTATGTTGAAGGAACATGAGCTTCAATCATGAAGACCCAGATTTAAATCCTGGCTTTGCCATCTACTACCCTCATGATTTCATGGTGAGGGCCATTGTATAAAATTTGGGGGTGGGGAGGAAATCATTTCATAATTCAATTGTGACTACAGCTAGTTTGAGGCCTAGTACCTTGGAACTTGAGCTAGCTACGGTATACAGAACCATAAACCCCTGTGCCTCTGGTCATAGTAGAGGCCTCAAAGGTCCCTGATTCTGGGACACTCTGGGGCAAGGTTACATCTGCTGAAGACATCCTGGTTCCTTAAGAACCCAGTAGCAATTAAGAAAAGATTTCGGGCCAGGGAGATGGCTCAGTAGAATAAGTGCTTCCCTGGCAAGCACAAGGGCCTGAGTTCAATTCCTGGTTCTGCCAAAAAAAAGAAAGAAAGAAAGAAAGAAAGAAAGAAAGAAAGAAAGAAAGAAAGAAAGAAAGAAAGAAAGAAAGAAAAA